GGCTCTGTGGGGTTCATAGCAAATAGTAAAAGAGCAAAACATTGGAGGAAGTTGGGAAAAAGCATGATGACTGTTCAGTGTCTTAAATGAAAGCTACTTTGTTAAAATTTTTAAATTGTGAAAAGAATATACTATTATAAAAAGGTCAAACAACACAAAAGGGTGTGTGTGACATGAAAAGTAACTGTCTTCCATCATTAAATCCCCCTGACCTTAGGAAGCTGTTGTTAACAGTCATTTGGCTAACTTTTTAGGTATCTTGTGTGTATGTACAAGTGTGATTGTCTCGTGTGAAAAAAACAAAACAAAATAAGATGCACAAAGCTGGCATGGTATCCTCCCTTCTTGTTCTGCAGCTTGTCTTTTCATAGTAATCACCTTTGGTATTAGGACAGTGGTAGAAAGAAGCAAGTATATCCCACAACATAATTTGTGGTCCTGGAATGGTAAGAGTTTCCTAGGTGCGTCCTTTGTCTGGAAGCCCTGCCCTTTCTCCATCTGAGAAACCATCAAATCTATCATGTCCTCTGTAAAGTCTTCCCTGACTGTTACCATCCCTCTTTCCTCTCCTCCCAGGGATATAACTGTATTTGTGTGTTACCAAAGAGTTAATCTTACTTTTCTCTCTAATCCTTTTGTACCTTGTAACTGCGTACATGGTCCTTTTTTGCACTTAACAACACTCATTGTAATGATCTATTTACATGTAAGTCTCCCCACCAGACTGAGCTCACCAAGGTCAGGGACCACGTTTTATTCATTGCTGTATCCCTGATACGGGGTCCAATGCCTGGCATGCAGTTGGATGAAAGGAGAAGCAATCTGAGCGGCTAGTGCACTGCTTGTGCCCTTGAGCCAGACCGTATCCCTTGATGCATTTTGCAGGAGCATAGCTTCGTTATTGTTAGCTTTGGAGCCCTTTTGCCTCTGTCTCTGCTACGTCTTCTGATGGTGTGAATCACTTACAGCATTTCCTAGTATTTGGAAATGCTAATTTCTTTCTTTCGCCTGCTAAAAGAGCTACTGGCTTTTCGTTGTACAGTATCCTTTGCTCCAGTTCATAAGTTTCTTCTTGGCTTGTGTCTGTTTAGGATCAGGCGACGTGGCTTCATTTCTCATGACTGAAGCCCGGCAACATAACACTGAAATTCGCATGGCAGTCAGCAAAGTGGCTGATAAAATGGATCATCTCATGACTAAGGTGACTGAGTCAGGGCTGGGGCTGTGTTGAAAGTGGGGGTAGAAATGGGGGTACAAACGGAGCAACTAGGGCTATAGGTAAACCCTTCCTTGGTTTCCCATATTCATAGAGTTAGTACTTACTTCCCTGGAAGGGTCGTTTTATTTAGGGATCCAGTTAGTAGAATAAAACTCCAGCTTATATTAGAGATTGTCTCAAGAGACTCATTAGCCCCCTCAAAAGAGTGGTCAGATCTTGGGTAAATCGTATTTTTCCATGTAAAAATTTCATAAAAAGTCTTTCTGGCACTCCTTTTGTAGGTTGAAGAGTTACAGAAACATAGTGCTGGCAATTCTCTGCTCATGCCTAGCATGTCAGTTACAATGGAAACAAGCATGATTATGAGCAACATCCAGCGAATTATTCAGGTGAGAATGATTGAGAACAGAACACTCAGCTTGGAAATCTTGCCCCTGCTCTGTCCAGGCATGTACTACCCTTTAAAACTTCCACTCCAGGAATAAGAGCATGTGATAAATGCTACACAGAGTTGGGAAGTCCTGAAAAATCCATATGGCTTAACTTGGGCCAAGTGACTAATCACTATATAGTCAGAAGGAAACATTTCTTTTTCAACTATATTCCAAACTTTTGCTTCATTTTATAGCCATTTGTATGTTGAATCTGTTAGGTGTAGTGATTTGTATCCATCAGGTATAATTTGATGTGTTGTTTTAAGTATTATATCTATGTGGACCTAAGTTCTAGATTTTTGTCTCAAATATGTATCAACGTCACCTGTCAGTTCAAACTGATTCCTTTTTATCTGAAGCTTTTCTCTTAAAATGTAACTTATACGTTATCTATTTTAAATTTAGGAAAATGAAAGGTTGAAACAAGAGATCCTTGAGAAGAGCAGTCGGATAGAAGAACAGAATGACAAGATTAGTGAACTAATTGAACGAAATCAGAGGTAATGACAGGTACGGGGCACAGGCTCGGCCGGATGAAGGGGTTTAATTTGTAAATACCCAAGTTGAACAACATGTTTGTTTAGGGAAGTTTATATGTATTTCTGTTCTTTCTGTTTCCTACCTGTCATGTGAATTTTGGGGATTGAGAGGGATTTCAGGGGAAAGGGCTCAGTGGGCCGTGACATAAGGCAGACCTATGTTTGAATCCTGGCTCTGCTCCTCATTTGTTTTGTGGCTTTGGGCATTCTGTGTTTTCCTGCTGGCCCTAGCTTCCGCATCTGTAAAAGTGGTGTTCATGCCTGGAAAACTGATGTTAGCTCTTCTCTCTTCTGTGTGGGCTGATTCTGTTTTATCAACCAGAACTTCACTTATTTCCATATAAAACCCAAGCATTTACAATTTTTCTAGATCCTTCTGAAGATTTTTTTTGGTTGGAGGGGTTGGGGAATTTGTCACAGCATATAGCATTTCACTTTAAAAATATCATTCTCCCATATTTCTCTTCTCCAGTGTCTCTTGTCTCTCACGTGAAAGAGGAAAGGGAAGTAGCTTTCTTTTCTTCCCTCCTTCGGATTTCTGGCTCTTTCCTGTCTCATTTCCCCTCACCAAACACCTTCAAACTCCTCTCCTCCTCATTACACAAATTCAAAGTAGTTCACCCCTGGCTCAGGTTCCTACCTCCAAACTTAATTACTGCAGATCTTAGGGAGACAAATGCTTTCAGATTGTTGTGATGAATGTATAGAGCAGTGCTGTGACAACTGAATGCACATTGGGTTGTGTCTGGTATACAGTGAGTGCTTGAGAAATGTTTTCTTTTCCCCTATTTATTTCACAGGTATGTTGAGCAGAGTAACCTGATGATGGAGAGGAGGAACAACTCGCTTCAAACAGCCACAGAAAACACACAGGCAAGAGTTTTGCATGCTGAGCAAGAGAAGGTAACGTAACTGGGGAGAGAAAAGCCCAAGTCAGGATGTGTAGAGCTAAAGAATGTCCTGTGTACGTATTGACCAGTCTGCTTTTCAGCAGAATTTTTGCTGTCGTTGGGAAGAGAACTAGAAATCTTTCAACAAATCTTAATATACCCACAATCCAGATTTCTGTTGTGCAATATACTTTGCAATAAATTGACTCAAAAACAATCGCCGATCTTAGTAATTTGGCCAAGGTAAGAATTACACAGTTTATTAAAAACTAAACCTATTCTGCTGACAAAGTCAACTGAAAATATCTATTATGCCCTGTAGCAGATATTTAAAGTACTGCTGTTTGACTTCAGTCAGTTCAGAATTAGGGATCTTGACCTGTTCCTGGAGTAGCTCTAAGGAAGACTCTAGTGGGTCTTGGGTTGAGATCGACTGATTCTGAAGCGACTCCTGTTGTCTTTGCTCTGGTGACACTGTTTATCCGGAATGGGTATCTTCTTGTTTATGCTCCCACTGAACCATGGGAGATGGCAACCCTTTCATCTGCTGTTTTCTCAGAGGTTTAAGAAATAGTTTGTATTTTGTATTTGAATTTTTCTTGAAAACCTGAAAAGTTGATTGGAAGGCATTTTATAACTTGCGGAGTTTACACAGTTTCTCATGTTCTGGTAATGATGAGGATTCCTGACTTTGGTCTCATGCTGTTCTCTTAGCCATAGTATCCAGTCAAGTTATTAAAAAAAACTGACCCCTTATCTTCAGTTAAGCAGTGCCTCACCCTGTCCGGTCCTGCCCCGATTCTTTCCCATTGCTTCTTGTCACCATCCCTTGTTTGATGTGACTGGCTCCCAATGCCTGGATCACCACTCCCCACTAAATGTACTTTTTACTGTTTCTCCTTTGTCTGCTTTTATTTACTCTCTTTCCTAACAGGGGCACATAAATACATTGTTTGATCTAGCTGTTACTGTTCAAGTCTAAAATGATTACTATAACTTGTTCTAGATCAGAGGTTCCCAAACACTGGTCTGGCTGTCTCAGAATCACCTGGGGAGCTTAATTAAAAATACGTGTTATTAAACTTCACCTTGAGAGTCTTTTTTTTTTAATTGTTAATTTTTAAATTTTAAAAAAAATTTTATTTTTAAAATTGTTAAATTTTTAAAAAATTTCATCTTAAGATTCTAATCTAGGGTTTCTACCCGAGGTCTGAATCTGAACTCTTAAATGGCTCCCCTTGATCCTGATACATAGCTAGGTTGGAATCACTGCTCTTAGTAGCGATCTCTTTTGCCACATTCTGTGGAGGTGGCAGCTGGACACTTTTGTTTTCAGCAAGTTCACCGTGTGACTCATGCTAAGTATCAGTGGGGTGAGGGGGGCATTAAAACTTTATTTACAAAAACAGCAGGCCAGTTTGGCCTGCAGGTGATAGTTTGCCAATCCCCTAAATTATCTTATTATTCCACCCAAATGTTCATGTTGATAAACCCCCAAAATGTCTGAAACAGTGCATTGAACCTGGTAGATGTTTTACTTATAATAGCAAAAACAGTAGTAACAAATAACAAAAATAGTACCACCAACTAACACCTGTCAAACTCCTACTAGGTTCTAGGCACCATGCTTTACACAGCTCTGTTTGAGGGCACCTCCTGGGCTGAGTATCACTGTTCTGGACGAGTGGGATACCGTGTACCACATGCTTCACTTGGTCACCTTTATTGTAGTGGAACTTTTCAAGCCTTGGCACTCTCCTGTTTTTCTTTTGATTCACTTCATTCTTCCTTAACACTCTTCCCTGTGGTATCTCTCCCATTAAAGGGAAATAATCAACGTCCTTTCATCCCTGGAGGCAGTTCTCTGCCTTCAAACACAGCTCAGAAACTTAGTTACGTGCTTGATGAATATTTGGTAAATGAAATTAGTTATTTTTCTCTATGACAGTATTAATGTTTCTACATAAAAACTATGGAATAATGGTTAAAACTGGAAGATAAGTTAGAGGTCATCTAGTTTAATCTGATTTTACAAAAGAGTAAACGGAGGCCCAAAGAGTAAAAGACTTGCCCAGGGTCTCACCTCCGGTCAGCTGTGTTCTTCCTTTGCCAGACTGACACCTCTCTTTGGTGCCGTTTTCCTCCTAACCTGAATGCTCTTTCCCTTGTTTTCCTGCATTCTTAGTTCTTTCTGTCATTGCTTTCTTTTCCCGGCTTTCCATGTCAACAGCAGAATTTGATCCAGGGTGAAAACCAGGGAGCCATCATATCCACTGTGTAGGGGGTTTTTTTGTTTTGTTTTTTATAAAGTTTCTATTTTTTATCTATTATTTTTTCCTTAACATAGGCACTGGGGATTGAACCCAGGACCTTGTGCACGCCAAGCACGTGCTCTACCATTGAGCTCTATCCACCACCCACTACTGTGTAGGTTTTTAATGTTTTCCTTTCTCACTTAATTTTGCTAACCCTAACTTTAAAAAAATCATAATTAAATACACTCACATATGCACACGGAATATATGTATTCACACATAGTTTTTTCGGATTATGAGCATTGCATCTGTTCATTCTAGAAAATTGAGAAAATACAGATAAGCAAGCATAAAACCACCAATAATTCTCCCACTCAGTTATAGCCATTGTTAAATGTATTATTCATTCCTTCACTGTTTTCTCTGTATGTGTGTTTGGGTGAGAGTATTATTTTTCATGCTTCCAATAGGCCTTTCTCCATAAAGACCTTAGATTAAAAGAGCTTTTGAATGACCTTCTACTTTGCTTGTTCTTTGGTGAGAAAGTGACTGTCCCCCCCACTGCCTCTTTTCTGGAATTCGTCCCCTCCAGTTGTCTGAGCTGCTGTGAGGTCTTGTGCAAGTGGTCCCGCTCTCTGATGTTAGTGAACTCTGGAGTCATGGATAGATGCAAAGTTCTCTGAGCATTGTGTTAGTTCCGTTTCCATTAGGCCATTTGGGGCAGGACAGTGAGTAAAACTTTTATTCTACTTACAGCCAATGAAAACTCTCTTATGTTAGGAAGTTCAAGCTGCTATTATCCTCTGTGTTTAACAGATGAAAACCTGAGGCTGCTGAGCAGTATCTTAGAGCTTACTCTAAAGGTTGTGTATTGTTAAAAATTTATTCTAATACTTACTAAAACAGTAAGGAAGACACTATTGAAGATTGTTGCAATAAGGAAGAATGATTGAGCTCAACTCCAAACATAGTGAGGACAAATGGGGGACTTGTGTAGTTAAGGAGCAGAGTGAGGAGGTCAGTGATGGAAAATTATGAAGAGGAGACACCATGGATGGGGGATTCTTGCTGAACTGACTTAGCAGGATTCTTGCTAAAACGGGGCTGGTCAGGCCAAACACAGGACGGGAGGCCAAGGTCAAGGGCTCAGAGGAGCCTTACTGAAGTTTAGTCAAGGAGAGAGCCTTTGCCAGTGGACCCTCTACTACTCAACTCATAGCCTATTTTCTCTTTATTTTATATACAATCTTAATTTGTTTTATTTGTGTTATCTCCCCTACCTTTCGGAAAGCCAAAATATCAGATTTTAAATGGAAAGTGGAAAACTGATTAAGACGTTGGAATAAATAAGTTTAAAACTGAGATGAGCGCAATGAATACTCTAAGAAGGGACAAATGATAATGAGAAAGTAGACTTCTGTAAAAATGCACGTTAAGTATAGTAGCATAGGGGGAGTAATGGGAGTAGCAGTATCATGGTGTAGGAGAGCTGGTCCAACCCTGTAAATACACTGCTGTCTAGAAATCAATACGAGCAGAGTGGCCACTCATTGCCTTTCCTGTCATCTGATTTCTCATGTGTCCTACAGGCACATGAGAGTGTGGTATTTGTCATTTGCTTACCATTCCTTTTCAGTGACCATCCTTTAATCATCATTTTCATCATCACCTTTAATACACAGAGTATCAGTAGACAGTTTTGCAAGCTAGTCATTTTGATTTCATCAGATGTTATGTAAGAATATATAGGTCCTGTCTAGCTAGTACAGATCACCACTTAAACTACATTGAGCAATCAAAGAAGTATTCCCTTCTTTTATTATCTCTTCTTTCAAGAACCTCCCAAAGCAGTTACTCTAATATCGTGGATCTTTACGTTACAGTGTTACTATTAGTATAGTAGTATTAGGGCCAAATTGTAGATTGAGAAGATGATTGCTATTGAAGGCATTTGAATTTTAAAATAACCTTTTCTTATTAAAAAAAATACTTGTTCATCATAGGAAACTTAGAAAATGGCAGGAATACCGTTTCTCATGTGTCAGTTTAGTATCATTTAATAACAGGTTGTGACTGTATCCCAAGTCACTAAGTATTTTTTGTGACACTATTCTTAATAGTCGCATACAGGATGGATATGTCATAATTTGTTTAAGCCCATTTTTTATCATTTTATTTTTCCATCCTTTGGTGACTGTAAACAATGCTGCATCAATCATCCTTGTAGCAACATTTTTGTGATTGTACCTAGTATTTCCTAAGGACAAATTTTTGCAAAGGGAATTTCTGAGTCAGAGACTTTGCACATTTGAGGGCTTGATTTTGGTTTAATGCAGGTTGAATGTGGCCTTAGCTCCCTTCCTACCAGTTCCATCAGCATAGAGTATGTGAGGTTGGGCCAGCACCATGTTTAATGTGATGTCATGCTTTGTTTCTGTTCAGGCCAAGGTGACGGAAGAGTTAGCAGCAGCCACTGCGCAGGTCTCCCACCTGCAGCTGAAAATGACCGCCCACCAAAAGAAAGAAACGGAGCTGCAGGTGCAGCTGACAGAAAGCATGAAGGAGGCTGACCTCCTCCGGAGCCAGCTCACCAAACTACAGACAGAGCTCTCTGGTATGCCCTTGAGGGTGGGGACTGGGACTTTGACCATCTAAACTTTAGGAATTAAACTCTTTCTTTCTTCTCAAT